TATTCACATTGATATCGCTTTTCCCTTAAAGCATTGTCCTTAGCAGAGTAAACGTTATCATATTGGCCTATACTGATCACGTTTTAATTTTCAATGTTAAAAGCTGAACAAAAGGGTCACAAAACCTCGATCTTTATCTTCAAACACTGTAGTTTTCTAAATAAAACGCAGCATTTGGAAACTTTTATTTAATAGTTCAGCATAACCCAATCTGTATTGCTTAGCTTTCAATAACCTGCAAAACGCAGGTGCTCAGTTTTCCCAGGCTATTAAGTGCTATTTCCAACCATGGGAAGGGTGCAGTGAAAAGGTTGACAACCAGCAAACTGTTTCAGGTCCTAGCACGCAAACGCCACTTTGCTGGAGCTGTGCTCATGATTGAGTGGTGAGATGATGCAAGAACGCCCCAAAATTCTGATTTATGAATCCTTCCATAAAACAGCCACTCCTCTTACAAAAGCACCTGAGGGTTTTTTCGCCTCTTGCTGGCCGCAGCTGAAAGCCCGCACAAAACTTTGGAGCTGCCGATTGTTTTTTTATGAAAAAGGCATACAAATATTTCATTTTTTTAAGGCTCAGACCAAAAAAAAACTGTCTGGAGAGCTTGTCACGGTCACGGGAGACACGTTCGCCGAAACAAGTGAAGCAAATGTCAGCGCATGAGACCGCGTGCTCGAGAGAGGAGTAACCGACACGTCCGTGAAAATATGAGACAAGCCAGGGCACCAGGATAAGTGTCCAGCCTAAGGGAATATGTCAATCCGCATTATACAGTATTTTGTAAAGCATTAGGGCACGATGGGACATATGGATCAGAGCTGCAGACCGATGTCGCGTGATGTAGCATGTTACGCTGTTGCATCCAGTGTAAGACCAGAGCGGTGTGTCAGGCAACTGAGAGGTGTGGATGCGAGTGTCGGTTTATTTAGCCAATGACAGGCCATGCAGTTTTGTGACAAGTACAAAAGGTTGAGAAGAAAACACTTAGCGGCAACTTTCTTCGTGCATTTGAATGATCATTTTTATTCTTTTATATGGCTGATGTAGTAGATGCAGAGCAGCAACTACAATTTATAATTCAGGTGGTCAAGCCAGATAACCGCGTCAGGAGCAGCAGAGGGTACAGCTGTGATGTCTCCTTTGTATTTGTGGATGGGGCATTGCGTCAATAAATGTTGTATGGTTTATTCTGGATGACCAGTTGCCCACTGGAGAGTCATTAATTTTTCATTTGTGCATCAGATATCCGCATCTGCCATGGTTTGTGCGGATGCAGTTGAGGGTGGACAATAAGATTCATGGAAGATCAAACCCAGGGATCTTCTGTGTTGGGATTACTCTTTTTTGATAAAACAGGTTCAGTTGTAATTTTGATTGTTTGTGTTTTTTCCTCTAAATTAATCATGTCATGAGCTTCAGTGTCCATTTCCAAGTTTCGTAGTATTGTGCATCACCCCAATGTGATAGAGAAAGCTAAGGAAGGAGCCATCGCAGAGCTACTCATGAGATCCCTTCAAATGTCACACACTCGGGGTACACTTTAACAAATGCCCTGCTACAAAAACATTAAAAAAATGGCAAGACTCGAACAAATATAAATTAAAACTTAAGAGTTTCATCTTCTTGGTTCTTTCGGTAAAGTCACGTAGAAGGGAAATAATAAAATAATAAAAATAAAACATAATCAAATTCTCACGACGTTTCGGCCACAACGCAAGCAGCCGTCCTCAGGTGAAGAACAGGTCTGTCGGAAAGACGCTGTCTTTATTTCTATTATTTTATTATTTCCCTTCTACGTGACTCTACCAAAAGAACCAAGAAGATGAATCCCTGCACAGTCACGAAAGCTTTAAATCGAAATTTAAAACTTAGAGCTGAAATGTAGCTAAACGACATAAAAAAAATACCTTAATATTATGGGAACGTCACTACATTTGCGATACTTAAGAACCCGATGTTAATAACCTTTGGCTGAAACACGGATTCAAACCCAAAATCCCAATTAAAGGCTCAGCACTATGACTCCTGAGCCAGACGGCCACCTCCAAAGTTTAGGAGTGTTCTATTTGGCTCTTTCGGTAAAGTCACGTAGAAGGGAAATAATAAAATAATAAAAATAAAACATAATAAAATAATTCTCACATCGCAAGCAGCCGTCGAGAGAAGACAGCGTCTGAATTAGAGGCTGTCTTCCCGACAGACCTGTTCTTCACCTGAGGACGGCTGCTTGCGTTGTGGCCGAAACGTCATGAGAATTATTTTATTATGTTTCATTTTTATTATTTTATTATTTCCCTTCTACGTGACTTTACCGAAAAAACCAAGAAGATGAAGCCCTGCAGTCACGAAAGCTTTAAATCGAAATTTTTGGGAGTGTTCTTTGAGCATGCTTTGCCTTACGAACAGCTGGCATGAAATAAAATTTGTAAAACATTAAACAATCAAATCGTAACAGAAAAATTGTGTAGGCCAGAAAACCACTTTTCAAACAACACACAAAAACGTGCAAAAAGCTCACGGCCTTTGTGCATTATACAAAAACCAACAATGCACTTCCACAGGATGGGAAACTGTTCTATTAAATTGAGTGAAATTATTTTAAGCCTAAATAAACGTAAATTTGTCACAAAACTTCAAATTATATTTGAGGTGTCGATTTACGGGGAAATATTTATATTAAGTAGGCATATATTTAGCCTTATACAGTTGTTAAACATTACACAGTACAAAATATGATTTTATAATATATTTGTTTGTCATGTTCAAAAGATCACGCTACAGAAGTTATCATGCAATAATGTGACGGACAATACATTTTCATTCATATTGTTAAATGTCACGTTGCTTTTTTAGGTGTACGTGTAATGCTTTTTTTGTTGTACGTGATTTTATCCAGACAAGATAGTCTTACACGTCAAATGGTTTCTGAGAACTTTGGAAAAAATATTTAAAATTGGGACTGGTGGCACAAAAGCTACATGATAAGCTTAGACACACGCCATGTACCTCATACACTACAGAGTCTCATGCAATGTAATTGCGCAAAATGCTCCCCCCCAGGTATGGGATGGTTTAATGTTAATCAAAACAGTCCTTCAGGTTTAGTAAATAGCAGGTGAGATCATTGTTAAAACATCTCAAGGATAGAGAGTAAATGGCAAACTCAAAATATAACTAATCAGACGCAGTACAAGACTAGCAAACGTCATAGTCAAACATGACATTTGACTAGCGTACCATGTGACAGAGACTATTGAAAGACACATACATAGAAATAAGAAAAGATAAAATAACTATTTTAAAATGTTAACAAGCAGGAAACTAATCTTGATTTGAAGCTTTCATGACTGCAGGAATCCATACTCTTTGGTTCTTTCGGTAAAGTCACGTAAAGTGTAGGTAGAAATAAAATAAAACAAATCACGACGTTTCGATCGCAACACAAGCAATCTTCATCAGGTGGAATAACCACAGCAAGAAAATGCTGAAGTAGGCGAGAGAGCTAGGAAACTATGTTCTGAAAATATATTTGACTGGTTATGATGAAATAAATATATAATGGCATGCACAGACATGATTTAAAATCGCTGTACTAAAAAAATGCCCAATACCTGAACATAATGGTCATTCAAGATTTTTTTAATCAAATTTCAAAATGACTTTTTTTTTTCTCCTGCAAGCAGTTCAACAACCGCACATTATCTGGTCAACATACAAACCAGGAACCCACGCAACCCATCCATTTCAATCAAGTTGCGTTAAAAATACCTTCCGAATCCTACTTTCCCTTGGGGACATAACTGAGGGAGAATAAAGGTGCACACGCCACATGTGACTCTCCACATTGCACACACGAGTTGTTGCCAGTGTCACATTCAGCCATTCCCATGCGTCAAATGTGAAGACTTTCTCACGCAACTTTATCAGGTCAGTGCAAATGTCACTTTATTGCTTTTTTTTTGGCTCAATACAACCAATTGTTTAGCTGCCACATCACTCTTTGACTTGGGTCATACTGGCCATAATAAAAATTTGGTGCAGATGTAAACATGTGTAGTGACTGACTCAGAGACACTAGGAGGAGGAGGCACTCTATTTATTAACAGCCTTCACAGTTCACAAAGGTAACCACAGCTCCCAGTCAGGACTGCTGGCAGACTGCCTGACTGACGACGCCGAGATGGTGAAGACGTTGATGGCGGCGAAGACTCCAGCAGCACGGCGGGATCCCACTCCAGGCAACAGCCCCGAGTCTCCGCTCGGGGTCCCCTTTTATCATCCCAGCGTGGCCTCGCTCCGCCCCGGCCACACCCCCCTTCTAGAACCTACTAGCGGGTTCCCGGGATTCCCTCACGTGCCCCTTCTGTAACATTTCCCCTACATCCCTCTCTCTGGCTTATCACGTGACCTGCTGACAGACAGGGCTGCTGCAACTGCAGATCCCCTTCTCTGCCAGCAACCCACGCTATGCTTCGTAGTGATCCATTCCATGTCACTACACATGTAATTACAATTACCAATGCTTATTACCTCAATACACTCAATTACTTGGCTGCCGAATCGCTGTTTGACTTTGATCATATTGGCAAAGAATGAAACATGGTGCCAATGTAATAATTAATAAACGACCACCAATGTTAAACACGAGTGATGGCACTCTTATAGACGAGTGGGTGGCCCAAACGTTAGTTTACTGAGAAATAGACAGATTATTATTTTCTCGGTAAACTAACTTTTGGGTTACCCCTGTATGTGCACAGTGATTGTGGCTTATCGAGCTTTGCATGAACACTTAAAACCTTACCAACAAACAGAACAATGGCTGCTGTCAAGTCCGCTTTGGTTACACACTGAAACAGACAAGAGGGACTTGCACCATAACCATTTGTTTCTTTAACAGTCAGTTTACATTTTGGAAAAATCTGCCACGATTTCCCCAGTGGCTTATTTTAAGAGGCAGAAAGTCAGTGACTTATGTGGGAAGTAATGTTCAAACCAACCTTCCAACGGCCGTAGCGATCAGCCAGAAAACCGCACGGTCCACTTGACAGCATGAATCCGAAAAACACCATCTACAGAAAAGGCACTCTAATCAAATCTTGCCCCTTGTCACCTTCAGTCAATTAACAGCACAACCATTGGCCAACGTTACAATAACCGGAAATTATCCACGTCTACGATCTACAATAAAGTATGGCTAACTCCCACCTCCTTCAAGACATCTGGTCAGCTGTGGAAGAGTTGATAAAATTACTTCTAGAGGGGCTCTCTAGGGCTCCCTCTAATGAGGGCCCTTCAGCCAGCAGTGGCATGGGTGAGCAATTGTGGGGCTGCACTTTTGACCTTTACCTGCAACGGCCACCAATGACAATAGCCACAAACGTTCACGGTGTTGCCTTTTCAATATTTTAATTTGTCGGAAATTACCAGGATAGCGTTTAAGCCATCAATAGTTAATATTATCCAATGAAACACAGTGAATTATATACTGGCAAAAAAAATCATCTTCTGTAAGTAGAGTGGAGGACGTGATTGGGTTGAGGCAAACATCAGTTTTGGGCAGGTGTAATATGAAGCATAAAAGCAATGCTGAGTGCTCAGCTGCAAATGAGACTCGTGGCTACCATCAAGGCCACATTTCATGTCTGGGTTATTTTTGGCACGGTTCACACCAGTTGAACACAAGGCAGGTTAATGGCTCGAATAGGTCAAAGGTCAGTGTAGAGTTGGCCTGCTGAAACATATGGTGCTGAAAAGCATTGTTCTGACTACATTTTAATTTGGGTTTATTTTGTACATCGTGAAAAATACCCTTATCCATTCATTATTGTACCGACTAACATTTAAATGTCGACTATGAAGCAAGGAAACAATAGTTCAATAACCTATAGAGTGCATTTAAATAAATGAATAGAGGATTTGTTACATAGCAACGGATTGGAAATTAAACTGTAAGATGTTGTGAATGCCATTTTAATGTTCTCATCACCTTCGCAAATGCAATTAGGTGGCTTGAGACTGATCATTAATTCACTCGACGACAAAATCTAAACAAATCTCAACAGAATAGTAGAAGTCATGTTCATCAAGGAGCAGTGGAGTGCATCAAGGTGTGTATTTAGATCCTGATGTGAAATGTATCACCTGAGCACATCTCTACATGTTTGAGAAAAATAATGGTTTAGAATCGGTTAGATAAACAACACTATATTTAAAGGATATAGAGCCTCTTCTCGAGAAGACAGAGTCTGTCATTCAGACTCTGTCTTCTCGACAGACCTGTTCTCCACCTGAGGACGGCTACTTGCGTTGTGGCCGAAACGTCGTGAGAATTATTTTAATATGTTTTATTTTTATTATTTTATTATTTCCATTCTACGTGACTTTACCGAAAGAACCAAGAAGATGAATCCCTGCAGTCACGAAAGCTTTAAATCGAGATATAGAGCCTGTATAAAAAGAGTACCACCGCCTATGATGATTTTACACTGTTGCTGATATATATATATATTTCTCTGCATATTATTCGGATGAATTGTTCAAGTGTATGTTGGATTGCTCAACTTATCTACCTATGTAACATCCTTCCTTACTTTCCACCATTGCTGACCAGCTTTGGGCTGGACACCAGTGGCAAAGAGCTTCAAAGCCCATCAGGTTCTTACAGCATAAGTCAATTGTCTACATATATATGGTTCATGACGACGGTGATTTACAAACAAAGGGAAAAAGCTGAAACGTACATGTACAAAAATGCATGGAGAGAAATAGACTTGGACATACAATGATAGACACGAAGAAGAACATGTTAAAGACATAATTCCAAAAATTAAGAAAAGCAAGTGGGCTTGGGTTGGAGATATGATGGCCGATGGTCAAGGATAATTACAGTGGGAGCTAAGGCATGGAACACCTCCGAAAGGAAGTCCACCTCGGTGTACGTGCTGGATGGATTAATACATCACAGGATTGTGAAAGATGGCAATGACTGGAGGAAGCCTTCGTCCAGCAGTGGTATATAATCATGGCTGGTGACGGAGACATCAAAGGAATGCGCTGTCATTTTATCAGTACACTTATAACAACCGTGTGCATGTGAGCAACTTGGGTGGCAAGTCCAGTGGAGGTGCCGCACACTCACCGTGGTCACTAAAGCCACCTGCCATTGCTGCAGCCGCCACTCGCACTGGATTGTGGGGGAGATGACCGACAGCAACATGATCTCCATCGACTCGGCAATCTGCACAGGAAGTCCACGCGCCGACCGTTAACTTCAACAACGGCAATGTGGCCAGTGTACGAGTCGCGCCCAGCGTACTGCTCAGGGTTGAAGATTCGTTCACCATTGTATTCATTCAGTAAAAGTTGAACATAAGCACACCTTACATAAGCACAGTTCTCATATAAGCAACGCTTGCTTAGACAACACCCGCCCCATCATCACTAAGATTTTATAAAAGTTTATATATTAGCTGTAATAATGATTATTATACAAGTACAGCTGGCCTTGCTCGCAAGGATTGCGCTTATATCAGGCTTCCCCTGTGCCCACCGTGAGGCCATAGTTTGACTGCAGGATTGCTACCCAGTATCCACACGTTAACAGTGAGGAAGCTGGCTTGCCAACTTGATTAAACAGAGATGTGGATTCCATTAATGTCTCACTAATGCCACAGGTGGATTACGGCTTTTTCAGATGCGACATATTGACATTCTCACGACTGTAAATCCTCGTTTCACGCGGTAGATTCTTTTCTAAAAAGTGCCACGTTTATTGGAAGATCTGTATATACATTACAGGACATACATAAACAAAGCAACTCAAACTTGAATCATATTTGCACTATACAATCAGCCTGCAGTCATCCCATGGTGAGACAAAAAACTGAGCTGAGGGTACGTCAAATACTGAATCATTCCGCATGTATATCCGGAATTCCAACACCGCTCAGCTACACAAGTCGAGAAAATAATGTCTTGAACTGCTCAGAAACCGCATTAAAGCAGGCGTGTCCCGAATTGTCCAAGAAACTAAACTTTATTTTTTTATTTTACCAGGTACGGCCTACTGAGCTATATATTTATTTTTCAGAGGCGACCTTGGAACAAATGATAGCTCAACAAAGTGGCTCATCAGATGGAAATGTATAGTAACCAAGTAATCTGAATGTATGTTTATAAACGTGGAGGGAAAAACCGAAGAAGTGTTGCAAAATAGAAGAACCGTGTTATAGCAAAAAAATGCGTTGTGTCAAAACGCATTAGGCGAGGACTTAAAGTACAGTAACCTCTGTATTTTCTTACTCTACTCTCCTTCACGTGCTATTCACATGAACACCAAAGCGTTCAAGGAAAATCCACAAATGTCCACTAAATGGGAGGTCACTCCTTTTCTGCTGCTGCCCACGGTCTGAAATCTCCACCCTCTGGCCACCCGTTATGCCAACTCCCTGCCACTGTTAGAGCCGGGCAATAAAAACATCTTCTCCTCTGACTCCCTGTCCTCATATCGATAAAGTTACATAAAATCTACCATATGTAATACATACTGTTAACACCTCTTCTTCTGCCCGTGATGCACGCATACCGCTTTTTGTATCGCAGGCCATGGGGCGATTTGACCAAAATTAGTCAGTATTGCTTTGTGAAGATGAGGAGGCACAGACCAAACATAGACATATTTCTCAGTGTAGGTCTGTCAAAACTGTGCAGTGCACTGGTATTACCGTTTAACCCGATACAAGTGTTGTGTACACAAGTACCAGATCTCTGAATACATTAATTCCTGCCACCAGAATAGATATATAATCTTGGTTTTTTCGGTAAAGTCACGTAGGTAAAAAATTTAATTAAAATTAATAAAAAAATAAAATAATAAAAATGATAATAAAGTAATAAATATTTTTTTTAATTTTAATTTCATTTTTTACCTACGTGACTTTACCGAAAAAACTAAGAGTATGAATCCTTGGAGCCACGAAAACTTCAAATCGAGAACCAGAATAGATGCCAAATTCCCCCATTGTAGCAAGAACAGATGTTGCTGCACTGCTTTGTCCAGACAGCTTAGCCCAACAGGAGCCTGACACCTGTTTTAGGAATGTCGTTGCCCATCCAAGCATGATCCAGGCTCAAAGCTGCTTAGCTTCTAAAATATGACAACATTGGGTACATTCCGAGCAACTTGATGACAGGCACTATAAATCCTAAGACTACTTAAACTGTCAATGCATTCGCTTAAAAAAACATTATGGTAGATAAAACTAATAACGTAAAATATTTGGCTCCATCCCTGCAGCTAATAAATTATTGACGTAAGTTAATCCAGGCAGTGCCTTCCCTAAATTAACAAAACAAGTTCACAATCGCCAACAACCCTGCCTTAAAATAAAAAAAAATATCAAATAGGTGATGTTTTGGGCATAAGGCCCTTCTCTTCATAGCACACAGAGAGGCTAGAGACAGCAGGGATAATAAGAGTTGGAAACTACTTTACACCATCAGGCCTCTTCTTGGTTCTTTCGGTAAAGTCACGTAGAAGGAAAATAATAAAATAATAAAAATAAAACATAATAAAATCATTCTCACGACGTTTCGGCCACAATGCAAGCAGCCGTCCTCAGGTGAAGAACAGGTCTGTCGGAAAGACAGAATCTGAATGGGCACCACTAGGCTTGGCAGTGTATATTTAAGCTGGGTTGGAGGGGGGAAGGGGCGCCTTGACAAAGAAATTTGCATATCAAGAGGAATTGTGACTTTACCGAAAGAACCCAGAAGATGAATCCCTGCAGTCACGAAAGCTTTAAATCGAAACCATCAGGCCTGATGATAATTAGTCCACGAGCCCAGACAAGATATCAGACTTGTCGGCACCACCTGAAGTAATATGACCGCTTTAGTGGTTTCAATTTCCTTATGGCCAATAGAAGTGAATTCTGTGATAACCATCCACTACAGTGAGAACATCATCAACAGCGAAGCCCGTCGATGACAGCATCTCCGGCGGTGACTTAAATTGACATGATCAGGCAACTTCTTGGTTCTTTCGGTAAAGTCACGTAGAAGGGAAATAATAAAATAATACAAATAAAACATAATAAAATAATTCTCACGACGTTTCGGCCACAACGCAAGCAGCCGTCCTCAGGTGAAGACCAGGTCTGTCGGGGAGACAGCGACAGACCTGGTCTTCAATTATTTTATGTTTTATTTTTATTATTTTATTATTTCCCTTCTACGTGACTTTACCGAAAGAACCAAGAAGATGAATCCCTGCAGTCACGAAAGCTTTAAATCGAAAAATAAATCACTCTCATCGAGACGTGCGAATAAATCGTGGCTACTAAAGTTTTGCTTCCCATACCTGGCACCGATTTTTTGCTGTGGCCAATAGATAATATGTTGCGATCGTATATTGAAGTGTAGGTTCAGACACAATCCTGGGAGGTTCCCACAACTGGGTCAGCAAGAAGAACCAAACCGGTTTATGTGAAGAGCCAGGGAATATGATCTTTTGCAACCTGTGGTGGCAGTTGGAAAAAGTGAAGCCAGTGTTTATTCCCACCAATCATAGCAATAAATATTGGAGGAAATTGAATACATATTCCAGATTTATGAGGATCTGACAGCTCCATATCCCTGAGGCAAAATAAAGAAAATAATTGCAGGGCTTTAAATGAACATAAAGCAAAGTATTACAAATAAATAAATGTACCCATATACAGTACACATATACGAAACTCTGCATCACAAATTATCTCTTTATATCGACACGCCTCGCAAATAGGTCAAAGTAGTTTCCTACTCGTTTGAACTCAGGGCGGTGCCAATCGCCTGTTTACGGCGGGGACAAGACAGAGGGCAACCATGACTGACTTTCCCAAAAAATGGTACTCATTTTATTGACCCCGGAGGAGGTGAAGGACTGTGTCACCAGCCTGGTTAATTTGTTAGCAATAATAATTATCGTAGCCCTGAGATTAAACAAAATATATCTGCAGTGGATATCCTCACGGGCACGTTCGCTCCATTGGCTGCTATTCGATCACCAGTCTCATCCATCCACTGTCCTCAATCATCACCAACGTGCCCTGCCCATGGTCACTTCCTTTAACAGCCAAAATACTTCCGAAATAAATATAACCCAACTTTACTAATTCTGGTTCACTGATAATGAAAATGATCCTTGAAATTGTTGATTGGCTCTAGTTTTCAAGATATGCTACTGGGTCAGTGTATACGACCCTTGACTTGGGAATGGCGGAGGATTAGTGAGTTATAAAGGGAAGGGATTTCAATTTAAACCAGAAATGACTAAAATGCCCCCACATCGATGCACCCCAACTTCAAAAGCATGCATTGACCACATGATGATGTATGGCCAAATAACCCCCGTGATCTCTACAGCGCAGGGATTCCTTAATCCAGTGTTTATCGACAAAGGGCTGTACACGTACACCAATGTCCACCACATACTGGAACTTATAAAAAATATCCCCAATGAAAGAGTCTCTGATATAAGCACTAGAAGCTGATAATTACGTCGCATCAAAAGATGTGACATTCTAAAAATAATTATAAACGTCTACCATTTTAATGCTACAGCAGAAAGGGCATGTTATGGATTTGAATGGCAAGTTTAATTTGATATGTGCCAGCGTATGCTGGTTTCAAAACAATCACAAGGGAGGGACCTAAATGAGCTCACAGCTGATTACTTTATATATAAAATGTATTTCAGACTTAAAGACACTAAACAAAAAACCATGGTAACATATTGACATAAAAGATGCAGCCGTGTAATTACTTGCTCACACCACTGCTAACAGGACTCCACTAAAGGTGTTATTAACCATGCAAAAAAGATTTAACTACACATTTTTGGACCATCTTATTTGACAGGCACTATTGTACTTTACCGAGTGTTAACATCCCCAGCATTTAACAGTACTCTCCTTTTTCGTATTTGTCAGCCAACACTAGTAAAAACAACATGGGCATTTTCGTTCTCTTCCATCATGTGCACCAACAGGTGCTTGTGCACAAACATGTCCATGTACACCTCGTGCTCTCTTTTAGCCCCCCCCCCCTTCCAATACGTTCCATTCATTGGCTACCACATTCTGATAAGCTCGCCCCCTCTCCTCCCCCTTAACTTGTATTCAAGAACTTGCATCTTGGAATCCCTGCCTCACTTGATACAGAAAATCTGGCTGTGATGGTCCCACCTGATGACGGAGACTTGTGTTGCCTCCGAAACGTCGTGATTTTTATTATTTTATTTTTTATTAATTTTAATTTCATTTTTTACCTACGTGACTTTATCGAAAAAACTAAGAGTATAGCTATATAGATAGCCACTCTGAAGGTATTGGACTACTCTTCTACGCTGGTTAGACATCTCAGAACAGTTGGGGGAGTATCCACACTTTACCCCACCACACGCAACCTGCCGGTAAACTGTGGTGTACAAATTTATAATGCTGGGTGGACAAAGGCGATGAGATAAAAAAAACTGGCACCATTGTTTCACCTGCCGCGCTGGGATATCGAATCGGCGACCTCTGGAGGGCTAGTGTCCAATGTGCTAACCATGACACCATGACGGCATGCTTGTTTATAAGTAACCGTATACATTTATGTCATTGAATGTGCTGCTGAATCTGATTATACACATACCACATTTTTGCATGCGCCCAACAGATGCAGCATTTCGATGGGTTTAAAAAAAGACAGCTTTGAAGGAACATCTACATCTCAGGATAAAAATGATGCTTTAGATATGTATATATTAAAATATACCACAACATACACATTCCATCCGTCACTGTGTACCAGAATATTCAGCCTTGAGTCATACAAACTGAATGCCACCCCTTTTAATTAAAATAAGCACAGGTTACTAAACACCCGTGGACCTAACCAAAATGAATGTATGTACATACTGTATTAATTCATGCCAAGAAATATCTCAGAAAGACATAGCTGGTATGAAGCCTTGAGAATTAATCATTTCTGTAAATTGTGACTAAAAATGTGGTTGTATGAACACCAAGTTAGTAAAAAAAATAAAGACCAATTAAAATCAGAGATATAAATAAATTGTGTGGACAAAAGTGCCATTTTCTTAGCTCTACTGCGTAGGTTTTTTTGGCTATGCTGTACAGCTCTCCGACGTGTTTTTTGGATCGTACCGCGTGTCATAGCATGCGCGTACAATTACAACCCGAAAGTACGTCAGACAGCCATTTGCCAAGTTATTTGAGATGTCAAACAACACTAAAGTTGGACGAAATAACTCAACATGGTCGTCAACAAAGCTGCCTTAAAAAAATGCAATATATAAAATCGGCAATTTTCCAGGCAATGGTCATTCTTCCTGGTACGTAAATCATGCACCATGAAAAAGGGCCATTGACCATGTATATATTTTTTGTATTTCTTTCTTTAAAAGACATTTTAAGATCTAATGTGACACTCCGTATGTAAGCGTGCACTAATTAAGGCGATTTATTTTAAAAAAACATCCCCGAACCTGCATGTGGTTAGGTGGCTCAGGGATAATTTAGATGCCACTGCTGTCACCCTGGGTTTGAATCCACATAACCGTCATAAATAAACTGGGTTCTCAAGTGTAGCCACAGCTGATGGCCTAAGTCCAGTCACTACATCATGTACAACTTTGTATGTCACTTAATTTGTAGAAAATCCGGCTCTGTGACTTAAAAATTCTGGCTCTGATTTATTTAGAAGAACAGTGAGAATGCACCTCCTAACCTAGACAACAAGAGGCCATTTGAATGGACCTCAAGATATAAACTTCTGCAGATTATAAGATACACCCGCCCCCCCCTCTCCCTAAATTTTAAAGTGGGTTGCGAGTGCCTTTTTTAATCCAGTAAGTAGGTCTGTGTGTATGTGTGTATGAGACCACAATTGTATAACTTTATTGACACCCACCACAAGTCGAGGGGGGTGCATCTTACTCTCCTTGAGAGTCTTACGATGCGGAGAATACGGTCTTCACAAAAGCCCGGGCAGGATTTCCACAAGCAGAGCCAGGCTTACCGTGGTGCTGCCCATGATGAAGAGTAGCAAGATGTGGAAGCGGCCAAACCCCATGTGCTCCACGGCCTGCTCCACTGAGAATGTCTTTGGTTCCACATTTTGTGCTGCTGACAAAACAGTTGGAAAATTTCAGGGCATGTTTTTTTTTCAGACAGTCATCATTGGCTTAAGTCCACAGACTAAACCGTTTCCTTTATTCAAGTTCTGCCTCGCCTGGTATACAGGAGGTTGTGGGTTCGTTCCCGTACACTGACGCCTGTGTATTTGGAGTGTGCTTGTTCTTCCTGTGGTCGCGTGGATTTTTCTCCTGTTTTTACGCTTATTTAGAAACATGTGTTTACATTATTTGGCTTCTATACATTTTCATATGATAAGCCACTTCGTTGAGCTATGATTTATGGCCAGGTCACCTCTGAAAAAGAGCTAATAGCTCAGTGGGATTTAACTGATAACATAAACAAAGAGATTAAAATGTACGTTTATAATCAAATATGGATAACATGGATCAGGCAAAAAAAAATATTCCTTAGTTATTTCAGCATAAGGTAAAACATTATTATGAATTTATTGATAATTTAAATGCAAAAGCATTGTAAGATAATGGTGTTGGGTGGCCATCACATGAGATTTTCTGGAAAACTGAAAGGACTTGCCCGTGCTCCATTTCATAATTAGTTTATTTTGGGTTAGATCACGTAGGTATAGTTTTGGTTGGCTACGTACGATGCGAAAAAAGTAAACACGTAAATTATTGTACCGATAACTGTCCACCATCGACAGAGCCAATCAATTCGAGTTGTCACGCCAATTGATGTTGTTCATCAGCAGAATTTAAATGTTGAAAAGCAAGCAACATTTTTGACAATAATTATAGACGTTTTACCTGGCAATGACATCAAAGCTGATCTCGCGTAAAGAGCGGCGCTTTTGTTAACAGCTGATGATGCTCAATGACGCGTGGTGGTCATAATAAAAAATGAAATTACTAGAAAACCTCGTAGAATTTGGTTTTATGGAATGTGTGTTTCGGCTACACACTGTTTACTTAACGAGGTCTGTTTTCAAGAACATGGGAGTGATGTTTTGGCGATATGCGCTTTGACGTTACTATGCTTTTTACAAAAATAGTCGTTAGGTGAGAGCGGTGCATGCGTTGGAAGGTACTCTGGTGTGAACGAATCAACTGTGAGAACAATTAAATTACCACGTATGTCATTTCGTGCATTTTTTGTGTTTATTTGCATGTGATAATGCAACACACACAGTCGTCGACAAGTTTACGCACAACACACACGTTGGCACATTGTCGCGTGCATCTAGATGTCCACTCGCTGCAGCCGTCAGTCATACGTACGCCTAGATAGCATATTATTAACGCTCAAGTGACAGTATTTTGGGCGGAGAGTTTATACCGATACGATCTAACTCAAAACTAAGCATGAATCTTATTGAACAATAAAGCCTACGTATAAAATCTGCCCGAGTCCGTTTGGCTGCGAAAGTGCTGAAGAAGCCAATGCCACTGAATTTCAATCAATCTTTTGTTAACCTCCTCCAACTGCCCAAGAGCCGCCACTGTTTCTGATTGATCATTAGAAGCTGCACCAACTCACACAGACCAGCACGGTGAAGATCCAATAACCCCCCACGAACCGCATAGGCATGGGGTGGCCCTCGTGTTCAACGCTGGATTGACTAAGATGGCTGTACACGGACACGTTCACTCGATCAGTGGTTCTCAATTCCAGTCCCTGAAACACCGCCAACCACCCCCAGGTACAGCGTTTCATGATCACAAACTACCAAATATATTCTAGATTTGAAGCTTTCGTGACTGCAAGGATTCATATTCTTAGGTTTTTTCGGTAAAGTCACGTAGGTAAAAAATTAAAATTAATAAAAGTAAAATAAAAATCACGACGTTTCGGAGGCAACACAAGCTACCAAATATATATCATGTGCTGTGGCTTAACTGGCGTATGAATGGAAAAGATTAGTTTTTACTCAAAGGCAGACCGTGAAGGCAGCGAGGACTGGAGTTGAGACACACCGTACTAGAGTAACAGATGCTTCCTATTGCTTTAATCATGATTAGCACTAAGCTGCAACACTGCTTAAACTCTGCTGCGCACCGGAATGACCTCCAAAGTTGCCGGCAGTTGCATTCCTAATCCAGCAGGTGGCGTATGTGGTTATTTAACTTTTTTAATCATTTGGAATCAGCGCCACATGACCTCCAGCAGATGGAGATGCACAACCGGCTAACACCACATGGGCTAGAACGGACCACATTCAGTTGCAGAGGACCAGACAGCATTATCCTGCTCGTCGGGATCTTCGATGTTTTTCTTCACATGCTGGAAGCTTCTTAAGGAAGTGAAAAGTTCAGGAAAAATCAAGTGGTACAACCCAAAGAAATTCAGTTCTTGGAAGAATTTTTCGGCACACGGAGGGAAACGTCGGAACATCTCGGCGAACAACACGAGCTACGAACCCGAAAATTCATCGGGGAGCTATAGAGCACAACCGCAAAAAAAGTCTACACAGTAAAACATTTACTGCATTATTAATGAGGCGCAACAAATTGATGCTTGCATTTTACATTACCTGGCTTAGTGATCGAGCTGACATCATTGGATTCCTCCAACTCCAGGTACTGATTGGTTTTCCTCCTTCCCAAAGGCATTATTTAACGACACCAACGAAGCACCTACCGCAACACACACACAAAATACATGAGGTTTCTGTGAAAACGCCTGTCAAACAAATTGGCATGCCCTTCTCACAACGGGATACAACACTCATTCAACTTACTTGCATTGATATAAAATACAGTTCAGCGTATGGAAATGATGGGACATTTCTCAAAGGTGAGCCCTTGAACATGACCAACGTGACTTGGGAGGCCTTCATCCAGCAGTGGATTTACAAACACGTGAAAACGATTTCGTACATTTTACTGGACAATACCTTTTGGTATGTTACATGAGAATAGTCTGATTATTTATTTAGGAATGTAAAAAAATACCCTGCCTTCATTATTTATTTAAATGCACAATGGCAGAGGAACGCTCCTAGTAAATGGCTATATTACATACAGACCTCTCTAACCACATCCTCACCCTGGACTCGTGCTGGCAAAACCTATGAAGCAGTTTCACCAATGGGGCATATCCTGAAAGGGAAGCTTCTCGTCTCAGTGAACTGTTACCCGGTTATAATTGATGGTCAAATATCTATGCCTTGAAGAGAAAACATGGGGCCATATGGTCTTGATTTGAAGCTTTCGTGACTGCATGAGTCAGTCCATAATCTTTGGTTCTTTCGGTAAAGTCACGTAGGTAAAAAATAAAATAAATCACGACGTTTCGGGCACAACACAAGCGTCCGTCATCAGGTGGGAAAGCATGGTCTGTTGCTTAGGCAGATTGTTTTAAAAGGTTTGAAATGGGTGTAGCCCAAGGGTCATAAAGAAGTGGCCGGGGTTCGTGATGTTAATGTGAGAAATTAGCATGTAAGATAGAAGGAGAGCGGCCTCCTCGACGAGGGAGTGCAACCCAACCGGGTGCAATCCAAAGGACATGTGAGCATGAGTGCAATCCAAAGGTATGAGAGTGCAATGCAAAGGACATGAGAGCATGATATATCTAAGAGAACGGCATAGAGAGACACAGAGTTGGAAATAACAGCTGACATCGGCAGGAAGGATGGAAACATCACAGTCAGTTAAGACTTTACCTGGTTAATAACGTCCTTCCAATGATTGCTCAGTTTGTACCCATCCTCTCGATTGAAGTTGTGTCTGTGTTTATATATCTGGATGGCTTCATGAACAAATCTCTGAAGGTAGCCAGAAGGTTTGCAGAGTACCTCCGTCTTGGAAAAATCAACTTCGTGTGAGCCCACAGCAAAGGACATGCTCACATGTCCTTTTCATTGCACTCTCATGCCTTTGGATTGCACTAATTTCTTACGTAAACATCACTAGCCCCGGCCACTTCTTTATGACCCTCGGGCTACACCCATTTCAAACCTTTTAAAACAGTCTGCCTCAGCAGCAGACCATGCTTTCCCACCTGACGGACGCTTGTGTTGCGCCCGAAACGTCGTGATTTATTTTATACCTATGTGACTTTACCGAAAGAACCAAAGAGTATGGGGCATATGCATGAATATGTGCGGTCCTTTATCAATCCACTGCTGGATGAAGGCCACCCCATGCCTTCAATCCATGGGGTTTATCTGACCCTACTTAACTATGCTGGTCATCGTGGGTTGCTGAAGGCTAGGAGTGGAGGCGTAGGAGCAAAGAAAGAGCACGGCAATGGTGTCTGCTGCACTGTCCTCTGCTGCCCACCATGTAGCCAAGTAGCAGCCTTGAATGCCGGCTTTGATGCACAATGGCCCCCCATCTCTACACAATCCAGCCTCCACCCCGACTCAGGGGGTGACCCAGAACCAGTTGCGATACCCCTCGCCACTAGTGTAATCCAGGGTCCGAAATGAAGCTCAGGTCTTTTGGTTCAGAGTGCAGCACGCGAACCACTGTGCCAAAACGAAATACCGTACTAAGTGGAAGAGGAAAGAAAACCCCACACAATATCTCTTCTCAAGTTTCTTCCCCCAAAAAAAATCATCTCTGCGGGGGTACTGGGACACGTTCAGGTAGTGTTTTGCAACTCCAAGCCTTGCAAACACCGCCCCCTGCCATCCTACATTGTGCAGCATTCAGTGATTGCCAACGATCAGGTAAATTAACCACGTAGTGGCTTTATTTACATATATGAATGGAAAACAAAAGGTTAGAAAGGAACGTTGCATTCACTTTTTGGTGTGGGGAGGGGGGGGTTATGAGGACTGGAGACTGAGAAACACCGAGTAAGGTGACCCCCCTCCAGCACATTGCCGATTTTACGAAGCAGTGAATGTTTGTATAGTGGAGCATTAAGTCACTTGGAGGTTTCGCCTGTCCATAAATGAATGACACACAAAGGCAAATTGTTTACTTTCGTGGCAGAGGGGATGCTCCGCTCTAAAATTAGACCTGTGCCTGCAGCTGCCCGGCCAAAAATGGAATTGTCTTGGAAATTCTTGGGACGTTTTTGGATACCAGAGCTTTCAGTACAAATCAGAGGGTGGCGAACGTTGTAAAACATTGAAAAAGTTGTAAGTGAAGATTTTCAGTGTTTGCAATAACATGTTGGCCAAAAGAATGACAAATTCGACTTTTCACACACGTGTTTAAGGTTGAATAGCCTTGGTTTTTATCTTTGTCCCTGGTCCGCTAATGTCATCTGTTCGTGGCAATGGGTAGACAAATGGGTAGAAAAATGGGTAGACAAATGGCATGCAATCCCCACCCCCCTCTCTTCACCTCGTCCAAACGTGCTCTGCTGTGCACTCTCTGGTAATCAATGTCTCCCACTTCGTGACGCACAGATGGCAGTGAAGTGGAGGTCGCTGAGTATCTCATTCTCTGCATTCAATATTTTGTCTGCTCTCCAGGGTAGGCTATATCCTCTCAAAAACACATTTTGATTTTCCATAGTTTGTATTCTTCAGATTTTTGGGTTATTCCTCATCCTTGGATTATAAAAACTCTAAACCATTTTTTTTATTTTACCAGGTAAGGCCCACTGAGCTATATAGCTCTTTTTCAGACGCGACCTGGCCACAAATAACAGCTCAACGAAGTGGCTTATCACGTGCAAATTTATAGCAGCCAAATACACTATACTTACGTTGATAAATGTGCAGGGAAAAAAACTAGAAGACCTGGAGAAACAAGCACGCAACCGCGGGGAGAATATGCAAACTCCAAATATACAGGCATTAGGGTTGGGATAGAATCCACAACCTCCTGCATACCAGGCAAGGTAGTTAACATCTCACCACAATGGCAACTACTTTGGCTCTCGAGCTATTCACACAATGGTGGACGAATATATTTCGCCAAATCAATAGTTGTTCTTGAACGATGTTAATGTCTCGAGTGGTCTGTAGTAGTGTAATGAATATAATGTTTAGGATTACAGATGCTCCTTGAAAAGGCTTTGCCCATGGATAGTTTGAAACTAGCATATACAGATGGTTGGAGTTTCACAAAAAAGCCATTGTTCCGCCTTCACGGTAGATGCAGACCAACACGTGGTACATGCTATTATACTCACAGGTTCAAATTTCAGCAAAAAAAATCACATATGAGCTGCTCAGAGCAATTGCTTCAGGTATGGCCAATTGGGCTAATGCACATTTGATTATTTTTCCAAAACATGTCATGGCTCGAAGGGAGGATTTCTGGACCATGCAGAAATGGTGTCATCGTGTATGTGAGATATTAAATTGTATGGAAAACTATATGTGCAGTATAATTTAAATAACACAAAGACAACGATTCCCCATATAGCCTTGATCAGACTGTTGTGGGAAGTGCTGTGAGCTAGCACCTATGAAGGCCAACAAAACACACGAGGAGGTGGGTGGCCAGCCTCCACGCCCAGCTGCCTTTGTTTCCAAAGTTGTGATGTTTACACATCGCACTAAGTACTCAGTTTGAGGCTGAGTCGACCTAGGGGCGGCACAGGTGGCCGTGAGCGTGAATCAAACTCGGGTGGCCGGGTTTGTAGTGCAATGAGCTAACCATTGCACTACGTTTCCCAACAACAATAATAATGCAAACACCACTGCACAGACAGGTAGAATAATATACGACACGAGAAGACATTGAGAGTCGGTGGTCAAGACTAACGAAAGTGTGGCAGCTATAAGAGGGGACACATACGAGAGCACGTCCAACGCACATATGGAGTTAATGAGATGAGCTGCTGTGCAAGGTGCTGGATGGATTGTTGCATTGCGGGCCTGTGTGGGATAGCAATGGCTTGGGGAGACATTCATCCAACGGTGAACTGATCATACCTGATGACGATGATGATGAGGAAAGGTTACCTTCATAATGAAAAGCGGGGTACCAATGTGCCTGAAGAAGAACGTTAATAATCAATTCGTATTTACCATCCACGGCATATGTGACAGAAATATGGACACTGAAAAAGAAAGGAAAGTATGCATGTTTGTAATTACACTGAGAAACAGGAAGAGCAGCGCATGGATCAGGCAACAAAATAAAAGCAGGCATATCATATTGACTGTTAAGGAAGCATCGTAGCTGGAAGGAATGATGGCCGATGGACAAGACTTGTGATGAGATGGCACCCAAAGGAGAGAACGTGCCTGGGATGAATACCACCATGGACATTGAGAGATAACATGTTTGTTTGAAGGAAATAAATGGTGGCATCGCAGGACTGTGCGACATGCTAAAGGCGAGGGGAGGATGTCATCCAGAAGTGGACTGGCACCGGGTTACGTGGGTTTTCTCCAGTTTATTCCGATGCTCAAAAATGTCATAGCCGTGATAACATCCCACAAGTCTGGAAACGCCAGACAGTTCCAATATTGAGATGCGTGTCAAATGTATTTAAAAAAGCCCAACTATAAGGTACTGCTTGATACGGTGCAAACGAATTATTTCAAAATAATGCCCAAACATTAACCAGATATGTGTTTATGTTATGAGAATATGTAAATGTCCTATTCCTAAATGCTTGTGTGAGAAAAAACGGGTTATATAGAGTACCTGGTGAACATCCATTCAAATGGGGAGAAAACACAAACACACAGTTATGCAAACACCCTCTAATATTCCGT